GACAAAAAAATTTGAGGACTTCAGTATGCGAGTACAATCTATTGATTCTTAGGTAATACGTAAAATAGTAACGGATTAAAAGATACCCGTTTCGTTCGCCTAACCTTGTAGGGAACCCACTATTAAACTGGACCACAATGACAGCTGTAATGAAGCTTAACTCATTTCTATTTTTAAAGCTTAGCCTCTTATAAGCTACAGTATACTATTAGCTGCGCCATTGCACATGCTAGCAGCATAAGGGCAATTTTTCAATTTGCAACAATTAAAAAATTGCCTTTATGAAGTAGCAACAAGCGGGGCCGAAGCATGCTATATTAACTTATGTTATATCGTCAGCTTAACAGTCCAAAAAGAGGGTGGACATATATCTCAGTGGAGGTTTGTTTACTGTCTGTTAGGATAAGATTAAATGATATGGGATCATTATGTTAAATCAATATTGGCTCTTTTAACCACTGACCTAGAAAAATCTGACCCAAAAGGCGGCGTCTATCTTTTTGGCCAATTAATTGCTTCCATTTTGGAATTAGTCATTCGATTCAAGATGCGAATATCGCGCTCTAAAGACCAACATAAATCGCGTTGTTTTTTTTGTAGTCAAGCGTTTTTCTATTGCATAGGCGATAGTCGCGTTGACGATGTCGTTAAGTGGATGACTGTACCAAACCCAGTCGGCGCACAGAACTGGCCCAGGTCGCAACTAGGAATTGATGAGCCCATGGATGTCCAGAAAAAAAATTTTTAACTGAATTTAAATCACATATAGCTTCTGCGGGAACCATATTGTCTTTCGTACTAAATGTTTAACTTTGAATCTAGTACGTAAATAAAGCTTTTAAAAAAGCTTGGGAGGCATTAACGCAAAAATAATTTAATAATTAATAAAATAATTAATTAATATATTGATGGGCATTTGTGATTAGTAATGATCGTTCGAACTGCTAGTGCTCGTGGGACCTATGTTTTCTATTATTGGTGATGAGATTCTAGCCTAACCTACCTAACAGAGATTAACATTTGACGTAAAACATAGCTTCACACAGAGATATACGCGCGGACTCATTGAAGATTACCTTAGTATTGATCTTCGGCGTGAACCTTTTGCCCACATGACACGGTGATTGGCTTGATTCTAGCAGTTTAGGTGAAATACACATAATAAATCCACCCCACAATTTCATCAAATCACAAAATTCTACGAACTTGCTTATAATCCCGCAGCAGGAATAGCAGGATCAACTGAAATTTGCGATAGACCTAACTTTTTTGCTTGGTCTGGTAAATTATTGACCTGCGAGTATAAACAATGTAATTGCGTTATGAACAACTCATAGAGCATTTTAGATTCAATTGACTAATAAATCAAAAAGTGTATATTCATTTCCAACGATAAACGTATGGAACGCCAGCAAGTAAACTCATAACTGGTAAGTTTGGGGAGGGATGAAAAAGCACAAAGGTAATCCTAGAAATCGAAGAAGGATTTCTGATTTATACTATCTAAACTGTATGTAAACTAACGAGGCAAGACGTCTGCATAGGGATACGATTGCTTCTGGAAGCTTGCCAAAAACTTTATACGTACACTTAATTTCATTTGGCTGTACGCTCTCTGTAACACTTCCGCATATGTGAAACCTCGCTCAGGATCTGCTGATTTAGCACTAGACTATCTATAATAGTGGCACAGTCTAACTATTATTATTGGTATGGAACTAGTCACAAAGCCACCCATAATATCCTCGGTCCAATTCCGTTCTATCCAGTGATGGCTCACACGTAAGGTCTCCCGAATTTATGCGGAAGTAAGGGAGGATGATATTTACTACTGTGGTACTCGACCATTGAAAGTGACAGGTGTGAATTGTGTCACCAGAATAAGCCTTCACCTAAATATTTATTCTCAAGAACTCCTCTACCTTTTCTAGAGTTATGTACCGCTTTGTCTATCTATATGGAAAAAAAAATCAATCTACACATTGTAGCACCGCCGGCCCAAGCTATAGTAGATTCTCTGCCGATTCGAGATCTTCTTTAGGGTTGACTAGATCTGAGTATTTAGCCACCCTAAGTACCGCTGCTTGTTTCCTTTCTTTTTTCCAAAGGAATAAATAGAAATATCTTGCGCAATGCTACTGTATAAAGCGTACGAAGCATTTGGCACTTGGCGACATTGGTAATATCAAGTCGATAACTCAAGCAAGAGTAGATACGTCAGTGTTCTAGGTGCGACTGGAAGATCAAAGGCTAAGAGGGAATTATTTAATATATTTCTTTAGCGCTATCCGATTTATCTTTAAGTTAACTAATTGACTAGTCGAACCTACTTACAAGAACCACAAGGCTTTTGGCCATATAGAAAAGTAGCAGTGGGGGCAAAGAAGAAGTACAGCTTCTCCGGATTTGTCACTTGATTTCACCAATATACAGTATGTCACCCAGTGAGCACGTTCCCTTCCCGCTTAGTTTTCAATATCGATTTGAGTACGTTAGAACTAGACCTATTGTTGTAGGATGCATAAGCAAGCTACACTATATATATATATATATATATATAACTTCCAAATGCACTTGATTCACAGCTAAACAACAATTTTTCCAAATTCAATTAATAAAAAGATCACTTGGTTAACTGAAGTACCACCAACTACAATGATGGCGCAACGGGAAGCGTGTCCATCTGCTGATGTTTCCTTCCGATGTTGTTGTCGTTTTCGAAAAGTCAAATATCTAGAAAAGTTTATTAAGGCCACATCGCCACTAAAATATACCTTACAAAATAGGAATGGGATTTTTTTCACATTGTGCTACTCCGAAATATGCTCTAATAAATCGTGCATCTTATTTATAATAGTATATATAGTTTGGGAAATATCCGGCAATATAGATAGTTTTGTTTCTAAACACGAAGTAGCATTTGGGTTATTGGAGGCACCTGAAGTATCGTCTCTTTATCCGTTTCTATCAGAGGCTGATTGATATGGTGACACCAGTCACTGCCTGCAGAAGTACTAGTTTCCGTTGTCGAATGTAGCGGAAGGTGCACATAGGTGATTTACAACATATTTACGCGAGATTTCAGTAACAAAGGCAATTTGTCAGCAAGAGGACTACTGGCAAGAGATGATCTGCTCAATAAAAACTAGTTATATGTTTAATGCGTAGCTTTGCGCAACTTAATTTGTTGTTTATTTTACCCAGGCCTGGTAAAATAAATGTTTTGAGCATCAAGTATGAAAGTACAAATTCGTACGACCCTAAGGTCAATAGGTAGATTTGCTATCCGTTAAACTATTTTGTTTGCCCATTTCTAACTCTTTAACAGCTTATCTGTAACCAGGTGATAGCCGATGATAAAGAGGTAGCGACTTTAGTTCATCAGAGGGAAATTTTATGCATAGCAAATGTATCCAAAGTAAGAATTGTTTAATGAAACTGATGTTGAATGTGGTCATTCAAAAGCTTATCGTGTTATAAATTTAATATATTTGACCAGTTTTAATCTGTCGTTAAGAAACCATTTTCGTCACACACGTGTTGTTGCCACGGTTTGAATAACTGACCTTATTTGAGCAGGTACTAGAAGTAATAGCTGGTAAGCGCACCGTTTTTAAAAGAAACAAAGTTCATAAAAAAGTATTCTGTGCAAAAGATGTAAATAAGGGGACACCCGGGTTCGAACCGGGGACCTCTCGATCTGCAGTCGAATGCTCTACCACTGAGCTATATCCCCACGCGACATTACGCCAAAAGGATATCGATCTCTACAGCAAGCAAGCAAGAATCAAGTAGATTGTAGCTTCATTTTTATGCCGTGCCCTCATAAGCTGACCAGTTAAGTCACCCAAGGCTTTCTTTCTATCCATACTACGTAATCTCCCATTAGACTAGATTGCATCGGAGCGTGCATCGAGGATTGCTTAGACAGTCGTCATTTATGTCCGACTTCTGTGGATTGCTGCTTTAACCATTTACAAGTAACAATGAGACATTAATCTTGGACACAATGGATAAATTTACAGATGCAATATAATAAAGGAGAGTTTATATAAAGAGACGAATAGTACGAAATGAAAAACGTCAAAGTTCGACCAGAACGTGATTACCTTTCGTAAGCGCAAGCGATGCCGACGATCATTTCTTGCCTCATGCATTTGAAAAATACATGAATGGTGGATTAGGTAGAAACATACACCAATACCAAGTAATAAGTTTGTATCCTCTTTGGACATTCGCGCTTCGAATGTATAAATACATAGATACCAGCAGCTGTAGCGGATCAACTGACAATTTATTTTATTGACGAAGTAGTGAATAGGATTTCTTTTCGTCATATCTTATCGAATTTAAACTACTTAAGAATTAGATATTGTCATAACTTTTGACAACTCTTATTTATATGTTTAAAGATAAATACTTAAGTAGGAGAATGTTGAAAACTGCTACTAATAAGTTCATGTACTAATGTTGACTTAGCATGGGGCTCTTTAACGCATAGTTCTGAAAAAATTTTGGCGGTCATAAGCACAATAATTGGATTGTAGAATTGTACAATTCCGTCACTTGAATTTGCGAATTGAAATAAAGTTAACTTAAAAAATTGCAATTTGCACATATATAGACTTTTATTGCATATAACTTCACCTGAATTCCACCTAGAGATAATATTTGCTTCACTATAGCGGCATAGGCTCGATGGTTAACATTGTGTTTCAATCTAGTAAATAAAATTAATTGCCGTTTATATTAATGTATATAAATGTATATATTGATTACCTTAATGCCCAATCAGAGCGCATAAACAATATTTTGGAATACTAGCGTAGAATAAGCTTGTTAGAAAAATAACAAGTATCCAAAACTCTAGCATAGGAACTTGCACAAAAGCGGTCTAACTCTAGATCTTTAAGCGAGCACCAATCAGTTCAAATCTCCCGCCAAATACCGCTTGCTTATTCGATGATAAGAAAGGCGCATCGAGCTAGGGCTGGCGGCATTCGATTGTCAATGTTAGCTCTATATGCATACCAGCGGTGTTTTCATTCCGCAAAACAACGGCAAGCATGGCTGCCCCTCCACTGAAACTCGCGCACCGAATCGGTGCGAAGTCTTTAAAAATGAAGAACATTAGAGAAGCGCCTGGCCGGATAGAGAGACTTCAGCGATTCATAGGTGCTTTGTTAAAATATGAGCGCATCGAGCTTAATGCAGGTAGTTATGTTGTTTCCACAAACCTTAAAGTGGCGCAATAGACTTAGTGTTACATGTGACGGTATTGACGTAAAGAAACAGTTCGGGGCAGTATGCGTTGAAAATCTGTACGGACAAAATGAAGTTTTTAAGTCGACTAAAAGTCTTAAAAAAATATTTTTCCTCGCCTCATCTTTTCCCCGATGCACCTGTTTTAAATCTCCAACTTTTTGCTTGTGATAAATAATACCAGACCGACCCTCAATAGGAATAGCTCAGCTACTTGCGACGTGTGTGTTATTGCGTAATAGCCGGCTACATAACGTTCAGTGTTACAACGAGGTATAACCATTACTAGATAGAGTGGCGGATTATGGATTGAGCCTAGATTTGACTGTCATTTTCGCGACTGGCACAAGTTAGCAGAAGTAAGGCTCTGTGAGGATGAAGAAATTTACAATGAAAATATAGATATCTCCCGACACGAAACTTTTACACTGTTTATTAGGTTCGGCAGGAGAAACGCGTGACCACGCTGAGCGACTAATTCAGGACGCGATTGTGTATGGACCCGCGCACGCGCGCACAATGGAGATTGCGAATTTCTGGCTACCCGAAAAGCAGCTTGTGCATAAGCTATTCAAAGTTCTCGCGCCCCGGCTACAGAACGAAACTTCGGGATTCACAAATGTCAGTTTGCGTTATCTAATAGCTCGTCATTGACTGCAGCTATAGCTCTCCATTCCTTATCAGGTGATAAAAAAGCTAGGCTAGCAGTGAGGTGAACACGAAATAAATGTATTCAAGTTCATACAGTTCATTTTAGGTCTGGCCTGTACGAAGCTGGAACAGAAGGTCATTTATGTTTGTATTATTAGTATGGAATGCTTGTAGTATGTATTTGTGTAGAATACGTGAACTTGCAGTCATCGACTGCAGCAAATTAATGATGATTATGATAGTTGTAATAATAACATACACTAATACACGCATATCTACTTGATTTACCTTTGTGTACTCTCATATCAAATGCCGTTGAATGTCTATCCACTTTTATTTTCTATTTATACTTTCGATCTCGGACTTCGTGATTTCAAACCGCAGAGCTGTCCATGCACCGCACGCAAAATAGAACCAGATTATTAACTTGTTTTGATCATCGTGACGAATCTGTGTTCTTAGCGATCAAGTAGACGAAGGCTAACGGCTTGGTGGAGCCCAGAGAAACGCGCATACTGATGATTTTCCCATAATAGCAATTTCTATCGATACAAAACTCATCTTTAGTATAATATCTTATCGGTGCACGTTTCCTTGTGGCGCCTCCCCGATCCAACCAAACAAGTGGCTGTCGTACAAAACAGTATTGGGTATCTTAACCCATCAACAGTTGTTATCGGGTGCTGCCCGAATCAATGAGTCTGTTAGTCCAACAGAATGACACTAACGCGCATCGCAGCAACAGCTCGTTGTGAATAGGGTTGCCTCTGTGAAACGACTTCGTTCGAGTCGACATGTCCATTTCGGCACGTTGAATAGTGGTTGTCGGTAACACCAACAACAATTCCATTTTGCTTGCACTACCGCCGTCTGTTTTGTATTTGCTATTTCGTAATATAAGTGGCTAATTGAAACATGGTAAATTTATGGCCGAAAGTACCTGCTGTGCCATTATCACATTATGGTCAAACTAATAGTTGTTGTTTGCTTGATGATGTCTACTTTGCATTTGTAGTTGTGGATTCTCGCCGATCCGCCACAGAAGCCGCACGATCCAAATGACCTTGCCACACCACGTTACTATCACGACTGGGTCGCCCTTGAGCTCAAAGGGAATCCATTGCCACCGATTAAGCAGAACGCGGCACCTAATAAGAGCCTTTATCTGACTAATATCTTACTCTCATCTGCGGCAATGACCGCGAAAGAACCAAAATAGCTAGGCCGATAATCGCATGCTTAGAATATACAATAAAATACAAATAATAAAAAATACAAAAAAAAAAACGTAAATTTTCAGGTTGCATACGTTACTATACAGCCAAGTGGTTTTTTATGAATATTATTAACAAAGTGCACGCGTATGCAAATTTTACGCGTTACCATTGCGGCTATAATAAATAAAGACAGCAGTATATCGTAGTTGTTTTAATGTATTTTCTCGGCTGTAGACCAGTAAACTTAGTGTGGGACTTGTCAATATCGCATATGTTTGCCGTATTCAATACAGCGGAAGTGAACTAAATTAGAAATCAGATACTTCTTGAATTATGTTGTCAACCTAAAATATATATTTTAATTGAAACTGTTGTTCGAATTTCGTTCTGATATTCGACCGTATAGATCTAAAAACAAAACCCAATGAGCTCTTATTTTAGCCGAACCTCGATGCCCGTATTCAAATGAGCTTTAGTGCGCACTGGCCAGACGAAACGTGAATATATCACAACAAATTTGATATTTATTTAGTCTTAGGTAGTTTTCTGAGTATGTAAAAAGAAAACGAATATTATAAAAGCAGGTATTCGTTGCTGAACCTTGCTCCTGCCAGGTTGGAAGCTGCCTATCGAAGACGAATGGCAGCCGCGTCCAGAACCCTTTGTGTGGCAGATGGCATCTTCTCGATAGCTCGCGAAAGCTCTTCCGAAGGTAACGTCTTAAAGTTGTTTTCCGTTTTTCTAGAAACAAAGCACAACGTTGTTATTGAATAATTACTTAAAAAAAGCAGAGAAGATGATCAGCTGCAACTTCTAAACCAGATATTAAGTCTGAACTTCAAAAAAACTTACCTATGCACCCAGGGATGCCAAGGTCCTTGTATTGAAGGTGTGCTAGTCGCCTGGTAACGGAGAAGTTTTCTCGCATCATGACCCGCTGAAGTTCTCAAATGTTCTACCCATTTAATAAGTTCATTCTTAAGAAATGGATTGCACCGAAGCTGCTCTCTAACCAGACAAAGTAACGAATTATAAGTGGTAAATGAATGCAATAGACATAAGAGGATGCCAACAACTTACTACGTTAATTTTTATAACAGTTAACTTTTCGACACAACCTCGTCCCTGCGAATCGTCCACATTTTAGTTAGTCGTTCCATTTTGATCTATTGGAACGGCTTGTGGTAGGTCAGTAAAGCATTCCAGCAATATCAAGATTTCACGTGCAGACAGGGCGTCGGCATCTGTTCCAGCCGAAGGCTCTACATAGAGTAATTTTTAATGCAGATTCGCCCTTACCCTCAAACCAATGCACATTCTTGTGCTTCGGCCGCTAAGTATATGAGACCTGTACCATCGGATATTTTTAATATCGTGCATGTAGAGCAGTTACTTGTTTGCCTCATTGCGACAGCCTGGCAGCAATCTGTTACAAATGTCGAAGCGGTCCACTTTAGGTTGTATTTGTATTGCGTACATTTCACCAGTACCAGTACGTATTACATACGTTTCACAGGCGAAGTCTCGCTTGACATCTTACCCGGCTTATGTTTAGGCACATAATTGAATTACTTAAGTTATGAGGCAACCATCTTTCGATATTCTTTCGCCTAACCGCGCACTATAACCTAATCTATTGCGTTCGTAGGCGATACAGCTGCCTGATGCGCAAAATGGTAGTTAAACTTCAAAAGAAATTGATCCATGGCGAGTTAGTCAACTTCGCCAGATGTTAAAGCATAGGCGTAAGTATATGGAGTAATTACAAATTCATTCATCGTTCTAACTAGGAACGAATATTTATCGGACTAATGGAAACATACCTGTGTCCGTTTACGTATTCTGCAACGATCGAGGGATCTCGATGTCTCCTAGGTCGCAGATAGACAACCGTGGCGGGATTTGCCTTTGCAAACTCCACGATCTCCTGCTCAATAAATTCGCGCATGTAACGAGACCTATGTCAAAGCAACAGTTAAGAACAATGGAATACGTTAGGTTAATTTAGAATCTAGTTATCTACACCATTGCTTTTTAACAAAGACCTGTCATTATAGTAGATAAGCACGAAATGTTACCTAGTCACTTTGCTAAGTACGCTAATACTAAGTGATATTATAAGAATACCAACATGATGCATAAAGCTCGTTTAAAAACAAATGATAAAACCGTATTTTTTTCTGATATTTGAAATATATTACAACTACAGTTGTGAACTTTAAGTGATGAGCAATACGTACGATGCATGAGATTTGCAGAATTTGAATGTGATCCTGGCGAGATTTGGTACATAATGCAGCATGCCGTTTGTTAGGCTATACTGCAGAAATATCCCTGCTTTGTACTGATTCATGTTGATTTTTTTTTCTTTATTTAGGCAAAATTAAACCGCGTTAAAACACAGTTGACAACATAAAAATTCAACTAGTAAAGTTCCTGGATCAGCGGCATCAGCAGCGCTCTGCGCGATTTACCCCGTAAAAACTAGATGCCGCCTAGCAACCAGCAAAGTTCGCACGAACAAAACAGCTTTTTTTTATTATATATAGAAGTTATAATTCTATTCATTTTGAAATGTAAGCAAGCGTACGTTTTAGGAGCTGAAAACAATAGTACATTAAATTAAAACATATTAAGAAGCAAAAGCAAGTCGCCATCTATATGATGAGCTGGGCTTCTAGTTCAGGCAGAGCGTGTCGATACACAGTTGTTAGAACACAAATGTGTAGTTGTAAATAAACACGCGTTTATATCAACTAAAAATATGGAAATGCAGAATAATGGCTAATATCAATCAGATTTTGCTCATAGTAAAAACAACAGCAGACTGAAGTGTGTAGCTTTGTGGTGTCGTTTCATGCTGCGTGCACAGGTCGTCTTTGTTTGCACTTTTTAATTTGTAGTCTTAATACCATAATATTGTACAAGCAGATATATTACAATATCTACTCCAAAATAACACAGTCCAGTAGTTTTAGATGATGTTATGTACAAACAATAAAGGCACTATGGCCGATTTTCGTACGTTTCAATCGCTAGTTTTCTACCAGTGCGCCTCATTAACAATGTGTTTCGGTAAATATAATCTGAGCTTACAAAACTATTTTTTCAATAGCGGTTCTTATAACAATTGCAGTTGGCATAGCCGACAATAGTGTTGTCAGCAACGTTAAACGTTCTGCTATATCGTCTTATTTAGAAAATGACTATTCAGCCAGAGTAATTCATGGTAACTTGTATTTGGAGCTAGCCTTTCCTTCATCTGTGAGCTTTTGGATGTTGCCGTTATATACAGTTCTATATTTTCTGACTTTAAAGCATAATGTTATTGATGACTGATAAAAATATGATGTATAACTAACGAAAATTTTTCTCTGTTTTTAAGGCTGTAGTACTTAAACCTAGTTTCGCTTTGGTTCCTCGGAGGGCCTCTGTTTCGTGTCGCGTCATCGCGCCGCGGCTGGCGTCTGCCTGGAGGCGAGTTAAATAACCACGGCACGGGCACTGAAGTAAGTAGGCTAATGATCATAACCCGCGGCGATCCACCCTCTAGGTGTAAAGTTAAAGATCTTAGGCAGTGTGTAACTGTGCGTCCAGTAAATGAACTTCGCACTGGTTACCGTTCTGTTTCATCGTACAACTAGTTATGGGTTTAATAACGTAAGATTAATAGTATGATTTAGTAGCCTAATTAGTTTATTATATTAGAATTAGATATAAGGTTGAACAAAATAAGCTGTTATTTATTTTATTAGGTATTTTGTGGAAGGTGATGGAAGCGGATATTTTAACGCGGATTTCGTTGGAGACAGTGCTAGGGAAACCCAATGAGCTTCCAACGAAAGCGAGAGTCATTCGACATGAAGGCGAAAAACAATGGCAGTATGAGAGTTGTTCCACCGAAGATAACATCAATAACAAGGATATTTCCGAGAAGGATAAGAATTGGACTACTTCATCCAACAAACCGAAACGCTTCGTATGTGACGTCCCCGGGTGTAACAAAGCCTTTGTTAAACCAATTTTTCTGGAAATGCACGTTCGAACCCATACGGATGAGGTACGTATAAGAAATAATTAACTAGCACCATGATAAAAATATATATGAAATTTGTAAAATCCACGATGCATTTCCGATTTGTATTGAGCTACTCAGTTTTATGTGCTTTTAAGCTTTTGAGATTATTTACGTACTCAATATATGGGCACCAGTTGTGTATACATGCTTAGAAAACTGGGCATGTGGAGCAAAATCCGGTGACTGGTTCTGTAGTTCGTCCGCTTTAAACGTAGGTTCTTTGCTAAACCTGATTCTTTGATTTTTTATCCCGTGTGGCATGTTTTCGGGGCATTTTCAGCGCCCTTATCTCTGCACTGTTGAAGGCTGCAGCCAAGCCTACACTAGGTCATGGCATCTTAAGCGACACGTCGAACGCGCACACAAGGAGACAAGAGACGCCGGACAAGAACAATCACTACAGCGGTTAGGTTTTGTTGCCACTTCATAGCGCTTAGCAACTGTATATTATTCCTAATTGCTATTTAGTTTATTTTCTAGTTTTATTGATAGAGGCTTTCTTTCACTTGTTTAATCAACATTAGTAAGCGATCATGACACTTTTTAGGATCTAAAGGGGTTTTATGATCTTCTTAGTGAGTTGATTTGCTTCTGGCGCATTTATAGGCATTTGTGTACTTGGCAGTCGTGTAGCAAGGAATATAACTCACGGGATGCCCTTAAAAAGCATATTGCTCGGGTCCACGAAGGCAGGGAGAATGTCGGCAGACAGAGACCTGGCGAAAGGCTCGCGTGCACCTATTGCGCTGCTTCATTTGCTAAACATAGTCGCTTAAAAGCGCATTTGTACCATCACACTGGAGAAATGCCATTCAAGTTCGTATGACGTAGAAGAGTCTAATGATTTTTATATTTAATTTTCTAGACTGTTCTTAAAGTTGTTATCTCTAGATGCGGGTAGATGATGTGTTTAAGCCAAAGGAATACTTCGTTAACGATTTGTGTTACTTTTAGCAATGTTTTGACTATAAACACTTTCAGAATACCGCTATCGAATAACGAGCAATATTAGGCAATTGTCATTATTGCTAGTTGCAATTCAAATATATTAAATCTATTTTTACCATTGAATCCCATTCCGTTTGCTAACTGCTATATAACTGCTTGTTTAGGTGTCGTCATGAAGAGTGCGGTAAGCAGTTTATTATGCAGAGCAAACTCAAAGCGCACGAGAAAACTCACGCAGGATACGAGTGTGAAAAATGCCCAGGACATAGGTGAGATAACTCATTGATAATAACTATGGAAGGACTTACTTTAAGTTTGAAGTGGTTGCCAAGTTTGCTGTTTAATGCACTAGCAATTTTTAACGTAGTTTTTTAATAGCTAATAATTATTAGCTCCCACGTTAGTTGTGACATCTATTTTTAAATGAAAAATACATTCGACCCTTAGTTTTAAGAGGAGGCTTACCTTCGAGGTAGTATTTGGATTGTTTCCTAATTCCATAACTCGAATAAACCAAAGTGATTACTTAAGCCGCTTTGCGCTCGACTGAGCTAGCTAAAAATTCAACAAAGAATTTCTCGTTGCTCATTGTCCATATGCAATCTCAATCAGTCTGTTTTTCAGGTTTCCTACTTGGTCCGCACTCCGAAAGCACTTCAAGGAGAAGCATAACGTTAAACGGTGTTCCAAATGTGATAAAACCTTCACGAGATCAGGTGAAGACACTGCATTCCACTGCTTCGATTTACATTCGAACTTAAAGCGCATCGAGGATGTACACCCGATATGTGGAAATTAGACGTTGATGTCTAAATTTACTAGTAGGCTAATTATCTATTTCAATATTTAGGTGTGATTTTGAATCAAACGAGAAATAGAAATATCCAAAAAGCCAATAATTTTCTACCGAGTTGTCCACTACGGCTTGTCACGTATAGGTCTTAATATATTGTTTCTCGTTTTTATGTTCCCACTACTGCAGTCAACCTTGAAGCTCATCTGGCAACACACGAAAATGAACGTGAAGCGTACTTATGCTCTCATGAAGGATGCACCAAATCCTATTTTGACGTGAGTTTTTTATGGAACCATCTAGCCACCTATTAACATGTGTGCTTGAGTAACTTGCGATGATAGGATGAACGGCGTTGACACGTACAGTACGATGTTTCAGCAACGAAACTATATAGAAAGAGAGAATAGAATAAAACACAGCTAACCTCTTCGTGAATATAGCTTTTTATTACCATAAGTATAGCAAATTTTCTTCTAGATACAGATCTGCACGTCAACTGGCTGTAAATAGCGTATTATTTCTATCTGAGGCAAAAACAATGTTTGATGCTGTAACATCAATTGTCGTCTGACATGTTCCGTATTCGTTTATATTCACCGGAAATTGTGCAGCTGAAAAACCTCCGTACTCATCTAAAGGCAGCTCATGAAGGCGTCCGTTTTACGTGTTCTGTGTGTGAGAAAAAGTTTCGGTCGAAACAGGCAGTTAGGCGACATGCCAAGAAATGTTCGCTTAAAATCGAAAAGCGTGCCGTGAGGACAGGTAATAACCCAGCCTGTTTTGATAGGAAACAAGGGAAGAGAGGTGATCAAGTGCACGGTGAAGCAGAATATATATCCTAAATTAAAAATAACAACTTTGCTAACCTAGCACTTAGGCTTTATAAATCGTTTCGCGAATTTCTATTACTGCATTACTGACGTATTAGCCTCGATGAAAATATGGAGTTGACAATCTAGTTTCTAAAAGCAGACACGGTAACGAATTGCTCCATAACCCATGATACTCCTACCGAATTGCAGGCGCCGACCGAAAACCCCGTAAAGACAAAGGCGTTGTACGGAAGCGAGCTGCAACTTGGCTTTCTGGCTGGGAAGAAATTGGGGAGTCCTCCGAGCGAAGCGGTTGCGAAACTACTGAGGATGCCGACGTTACAGTTAACCCAGATGCTCGTGGAGCTTTATTGGCATTAATCGACAAGATTTCCAGAGTTAACGATCATGCCGTCTACTCACTTAACCAAGAACGAGATCAAAAGTCAGTTAGTGTGCAGGAAACGCTAAAAGAAGATCACCAGCGTACATCCGAATGCGATGATGACGTTCGGGACAGAACCGAATGTCATGGTGACTACAATGATAATGGTGCAGATCAGGAAGAACAAACTTTACTATTTACTGAGCAGTTCGATGATCTCGAACAAAATGCGTATAAGGTTGAATCCGGAAAGAGTGCGGAGGAAATGGACAAAGAGAAAGATGCATTTACCGGAATAAGCGATCGGCGAAGCGATACTCATGCTAGTCATGGAGAGCTGGGAAGGGTTAAAATCTCCGACAGTAAAGATTGAGAGCCCGTCCCGGCCCTACTCGCGTATACTTCTTAATTTGCTACTTTAGATGCGAGAATTTTCAATTTAGTGGTTCAGTGATACTTGTTTTTTTATTATATGCAAATACATATTAATGCATCGTAATACACGAGGGGTTTTCATATCTATCGTAGTAAATCGTTTTGTTCATCACATCGTGATCTGGTGGTAGTTTCCCGAGATTAGGGGTCGCAGCTTCAGGCACGGCTAACGATACATACTACAAAACCTGTATAAATGGAGAAAAAATCTTTAACTCGCGCTGGTCGAATGCTTGTTTAAAGAGAGACTCGTAGCCTTTGTGTGCAGTCCCTCATTTCATTCATAAGGTTATAGCAGTAAGCTAATTAAATAGGATACAGTTTTTGGATACCAAGAAAGTCGTTACTTCATTTGTACCGAGAGTTGGTTAAAAAGATTGATAAATCGCTATTAAACCAAAGATAAGATGAAGGCATGCGATTATTTTCTGCATAAAGAATTATCTCTGAATTTATAAAGTGTAATGTTTATTTATATATATAATTGTAAATATAAATGTATACAATCCGCAGTTCCTGTTTGCTTTAGATATACGTCTTACTTTAGGCAAGTTTATCTCACGCTCTCATTGCTGCTGTGTATAATGTAATATATAATACCTTGCTGTTGCCACCGCAGTTCTTTCCACATTTTTCCATATAGTTAATAACCGCTATGTTCGAACACGTTAGAGAGACATGTTTATACATGCCACGAAATCTGGAACCGGAAATTACTATTGTCAAAATGCATTGACACACATTTGTTTATAAAGGGGATCTTTCCAGAAGTTAACATCATCGAAAAGAGGCGTCATAAGATTAAAGCTGCGGATACTGATCCGTACCAGGATAGCAACGTCTATTAAGATAGAGAAGTATCCAATATTTCGAATCTCAATTAAGGTGCAGGAACTTATCAATTCTTCATTATTAGCTTACTCGGGTCTAATAAAAAATGAAAGCGAATATACTCAAAGGGGATGTTCGACTCAGACTTATAGGTTCGGTTTTATTGGCTGAAACATTAACTCTTGGCATAAAAAACGCATATTATCAAACGCAACCTAAAATATGTATACGTGTTTTTTTAATTAAGCGTTTCCATGAAAAATGGATACACCTTTGCCAGGCCGACCCGCGTCGTGCCAGTGTTTCATAGTCATCTGCCAAATGCTGCACACTTGCCTCGTACTGCGAACACTTCCATAGTCTGTGCACAGTGAGGTTTCGTTCAGCTTGGGGTTCCCTAAAATTAAAGGTCTGGTAAAATATGAGTTGCATATTAGTGCAGAGCTGCGGACACACTTGTCTTACGGCTATACCTAATAGTTTCGGACCAATTCGTTGCAACCCATTCGTTGCATATAAGGGCTAAGTAAAATATTCTATATATGTATATATATTGTTAGTCATTTACATAAAATATTGTCTGATTTATAAACGAAAATTCATATTGTTAGTAAATAGCAAAGAAAAAATGAAAAACTAATTTGTATCGTGGAATAGTCAAGACTGCAATAAATTTAGACAAGATGACATGCCTCATATTTGTTATATATATATATATATATATTACGCGTTCCTTTAGATGGCCGGCTCCCAGCATGAAGCAAAGTGCGTTTCTCGAGGCACATACAAATAAAAAAAAAAGTCCTAATAACAAGGATAAAATATCACAGCAAAATCAACATCAACTTACACGAAACGCAAAGGTGAGCCTGTTTAGAAGTTAAGCCATACATTTTGATAAGAATCAATCGAATAACAAGAAATATTTGTGCGTTGATTTGAAGTTACGCAGACAGGTACTTGGCGTTTATTATCACAATGCGATTTGTATATGTTCGGAGAAATGCACTTCGTCTCATGCTGGGAACCAGCCTTTAAAGCAATACCGGACGTAAAACTCCAAACATTGATTAAGTGCTTGCACAGCTTTTTAAAAACATTATAGTCACTATGTTGAGTAATCTTCCTCTATAAAGAAAATATTTCCTATAAAGAAAACCCACAACGCAACTATTTATCATTCGTAAAAAGAATGTACTTTTTTTTTTTATTAATTTTTAATATTTTCTATTAAGTCGCATGCGTTTTGCATGTTCTTTACGATATCGTGTTCTCAATTGATAAAGTTGACCAGAATATGCCCGATTCGACCTCTTGCTTTAAATATATTCTAGAACATATCTATCTGTCCCAATTGCAAGTCAAATGAGCAGCTCATCTTCATAGACCTTATTATATTAGTATAAAAATTTATTTTGGCTTCACACAAAGACAGAGAAAATAGTTTCATACATTAGGAGGATGTGACACAAAATGACAATAAAATATACGCCGTAACAACTTATAATTAGCCAAACCTATAATTGCTTTAAAACTCATACAATATTACCCCCTAATTTACGGGACTGGTACATATAACTAATAGAACATACATTAAAAGTATTTAAATACCGCTAAAATCGTTTCCCACTAGTTGGAAGATGTGCGATGGATTTTAGAATGACATTTTTAGTTGATGGTGTAAGTGAAGTTACAGCATCTTGATTCGACTGTTGGAAGTTAATATTTTAAACTTTTGTAGTAGGGTTGCGTTAGCTGTTCTGAAAGAAAGAAATGCACCAGTGATTTTCTTTTAAAGGAATGATGTATTTAATATTTTTACATTTGGATAACCCTTTTAAATAGTTGTTAGTGAGTTCAATATAAAGATAACCAAACTCTTCTATAAAGGTTATAAGCAAACAGAGATTAATATATATATGTATTGATGCATCTAAATTTAATTTGTTACGTGAAGTTAACCTCGTTTGTCTAGTTGTCGATCTAATCTCACTCTAAGCAAAAACTTCGATTCGCACCTTATTAACCTAGTTTGAACTCTTTAGTCTGCCTATCTGTTTATGAACCTACCATTCCTTACAACTTTTAATGGGTGTCATAGATTATTTTTTTACATTAAGTTTTTGCAATCCATCACGCTTAAGACGGACTCAGTATCATCAGTTTGAAGTTTGGCGCCCGTTTTGGCACACTCTCTTCTCTTTTCAAGCTGAAAACGGATTTCGAAACCACTGGAATGATCCTTTCGTATCGAAGCGGAGTCGAGTACGTAGGGAGTCCTGACTATTTTTTTTTAATTTCGTAGTTCCAAGTGTGTTTTTGCTCATCGTTGATGTAAATTATTACTCTGTATGCAGCGAATACATTATATTAGCTTCGGGCGTGTGAGTGTACGTGAATAAAGACTGCACATATATTTTAACACGTGGCCCTCGTGGGCAGCTCGTTATACCTCCAGTAGTGTTCGCTGTACACCGGGTTTTACAGCTTTACACTCCACCGATAATGCATTTTATATTGGTGCGGTTTAGAATAATGGTCGTGACAACAAAACTGTCAACTACGTTTTTATTTACTACCGTTACTTTCTTGGCTTTGTCTACACGGAGTGCCCAAACCGTTCCCACATTACTCCATACGGAATATTTTGCTCAAAAAAAGATTTTCGTTGTTGCTAAAAATAACAGTTCTAGTATAAAGATCTTAATGATTTCAAGCCCTCGGCTGACTTTGGCTAGCATCATTTTAACTTAGTTTAATGCGACAGTCACGCGCCTGGAGCAATTGTATTCTACTATATTTAAATGGATATTATCACACAACCGTTTTGCTTGAACTTGTTTGCTAATTTATTTTCTCTTATTTTCGCTTGCTAGCAATGGCGGATGCAGTTCCAGCCAGTCGCGGAGGTTTCCGAGGCGGATTCGGACGCGGTGGACGAGGTGGCCGTGGGCGCGGCAGAGGTCGCGGTCGTGGACGCGGACGTGGAGGGAAAGAGGGCGACAAGGAGTGGCAGCCCGTCACCAAGCTGGGCCGTCTCGTTAAAGACGGAAAAATTAAGTGTTTAGAGGAGATCTATCCTTATTCATTTCCTATCAAGGAATTTGAGATCATCGACCACTTCCTCGGACAGTCGTTGAAGGACGATGTACTGAAAATAATGCCCGTGCAGAAGCAGACTCGTGCCGGTCAACGTACGCGCTTCAAAGCCTTTGTCGCTATTGGCGATTACAACGGACACGTCGGTCTCGGTGTCAAGTGTTCAAAGGAAGTTGCCACCGCCATTCGAGGCGCTATCGTTCTGGCTAAGCTATCTGTGATTCCTGTCCGTCGAGGCTACTGGGGTAACAAGATCGGTGTGTATGTGGGCGCTGTCACCCGTATGACAATTTGCCAGCAGTCTTCCCTGCATTTTGCATAAAGAAATCTTATACAGGCGCAAACAGGTGAAACTTGTTTTACCTGTTTGCGCCTGTATACGATTGTCACAATATGAATATTCATACTGTTACGGGGTCAGCAGGCCTCGTGTAAAGTCATACCATAGAATGACATGTGCTCCTATTCCTCACGTATTACAGGTCGCCCTCACACAGTGCCTTGCAAAGTGTCTGGTAAATGCGGTTCGGTCAGTGTGAAGTTGATTCCTGCGCCGCGTGGTACTGGCATAGTGTCTGCACCAGTGCCTAAGAAACTTCTGCAGATGGCCGGTATCGATGACTGTTACACACAAGCTCGGGGCTCCACCTGTACATTGGGAAACTTCGCTAAAGCTACCTATCTGGCCATCCAACAGACGTACGCTTATCTCACCCCCGATTTGTGGAAGGAACGCCCTCTAGAGAAAACTCCTTACCAGGTCCACACTGACCATCTCCAGAAGGCCGCCCGTACCCAATATCATCATGAATAATAACGTAACTAATCCAAGGATGAGGTCTCAACTAGTGGCAGGCATTGCGTAACATTTCTTTCCCCTCAATGTTTAATAAACGGCGCCTCGTATATAAGAAAGTGTCTTTTTATGCATGTTTATGCAGTATTTTGCAAATAAATTTTTAGGGATTTGAACAACTATGGGCGCGTGGATTATGGCTTAGCAGTGTGAAACATTAATTGTCGCGTAGATACTGCAAGATAGCATATGATACTTGAATATAAGGATGTGTTAGGTTCCTTGCACACGGGGTGTCTCTGTTTCAGGCGCAGGACTAACCGCTCAAGTTACATCTTATACACAGTACAGTTCCGTATAATGTAAGATACGTAAAACTGATTTGATGGTACATAATTTACGTACGTAGTTTTTTAATATGCCCTAATAAATTCTGAAAAGTATGAGCAAGTTGGTCTAAAAAACAGTGTGTTCAAGGACTTTACGTGTGTTTACATTGTAACCCCAAATTTACTATAGAGCTCCTGTAGTCAATGTCTCCTATGCAAGTTTTTTGGTATAAACATTGCTTACTGAATAATATGTTTCAATTAAGCTGCCAACATTTGTTATTAACGGAGTAAGCATTCTGAAACATGTAAGGTTCTAAGCGACGTTTTCGAAATTGTGACATACTCGTAAACAGTGTGAAGGAAATGCGTACGCAAGATAGAATTCTGATGCCATTGGTTATAGTAACTCCATCAAATATAATTCGTCTTGACATACAATTGCGCTTTGACAAGCCGGCTTTCAACGAATCTGCTTTTCCGCATAGAATTTAAAGAGAAATTTATATAGATACATAAATGTGTATAAAGCACGCTCTGCATTTTAGGAGACGGGAGCATCTTTGCCAATCTTTATACGCAACTGAACTTAGAAATATTTTTAAATTATATTGGTGCGAAATATAATAGCGTATTATGAATACGAAGCGTAATGAGATTCGTGATAGGTATACGTAACTGCAAATTAACTTTTTAACCAGCGAGATGAGTATGTTTATTGCTTATAGAAAGATATCGGTGAGGATTGGCTGATCTTCTCATACATTTCAGCTAGCAAAGGAGGCAGAGCAGGTATAAATGTATAAAATGTAAAAGCAGCGTATATCGACCACCCTAAGTGTGTGCTAGTGCATAGATATTCAAACGAAATGAGTACATGGATATTCGATTTATCAGGTTAAGATAAAAAGTTGTTAACTAGGCGTGTCTTAGTAAATTTGGGTTATCACACGTGGATGTGTATTTATAGCATTCAATGCTTATAGATGCCGTCAAGACGGTTCTTTAGAGTCCAACGGATTCCCCAGTGCCAAAGTATAACACTTGAGAGCCAATTATCGTAGCTCAGAGTCCTTTGTCTGCGGGGACCAGGATAACTTGTGCATTCTTCTAGTTCGAGCGTCAAAAGGTAGCAAAGGAACGTTTAGTGTTGTAAACAATCAAATCGCGTAACCTGTTTAAGGTTTAAAGACAAACTCACAGTAACGGGTACCTGATCTAACTCAACATATGCAAAAATTCGGGTGACTCATGGTATTCCTGTTTAAATGGATGCATCATGTATGTACTACCTAAAAAGAATCATACACAGATACCTTTTAATATTAGGCAAACTATATCTTTAGTTCATGAACATTATCATGGACAAACGTTCAAGTTTGCATGATACTTAAATATCCTGCTATCATATTGTCAGACAATCAATATTAAACTACAGTCGACCCCTACAAAAAAATCTTACCTTTCCACAGCTCGGGTTTTCCTCGTGAGAGCTCATTGTTTACCCATCTCTATGTTAATACATGTGACATCTACTGTAATGTGTTTTCATATTCCCACCTTACTATTACCTAACCGTGAGATTTACCTAGCTTTGAGTCATCTCCAGACCTACTTTAAGAACACAGATAGTACGTAAAGCCCAGCTATTGAGTATATTGAAAACCTGGTCCGCTGCTCAGATCGGTAGCAGCACCCAGTTTATCGTCCTAGTACTACTAACTCATTGACTAACTCACTGTGTCAAAAGGTTTCGCCGTGCTCAGCAATGTACACTAAGCTCTCTACTTTTAGCATATGCATGGGAAAAACGTGTTTAACGTTGCTAGACTGTAGTGTGACTTCGCGACAGTCGACAGTAGCCGCAATCGGAGAACAAAGATATTGCCGTTTGATGTAAGCCAGTTGAGTACTGCCAGGTACACGTCAGTGTGCTAGCTATTGAAAGAGGTTTACACTATTAGTAAGCTGTGTCTGGTTCTAGCAATAGCAGGACATGCCATGCTGCACTCGCACCCTGTCCGTGCCACAACCTCGTCGTTCTGCGGCCACCTAACTCGATACCCGATGCTGTCCTCGCCCGCAGCCTGTCGCTGCTAGGCGCTAACTGCCAACGACGGTAGTCCTAGCTCGGCAGAGAAATCTTAGATAAAAATTTTACTAAGGTTCCTTCACTGCTAGCAAGCAAACTCACGTAGCCTACACGCCTGGACCGGACGCCGACCGGAACCCAAGAGAAGAAATCTCCCTCTTGTCGCCGATATTGCACGGCAAAGACAGAGTCAACCACACAGACTCAGACAAGGCTGACTCAAGCACACGCATACAGAGATACATAGATTTTATGTAGTCCTGCAGCGTTATCCTCAAGCGTGGCTCGAGTGATGCACCAAAAAGCGACAATACCTGTGCTCCGAAGGATACTGAGGATATTATTGTATACAGTACGCTACCTTCTGTAGTGTATATCAATTGAGAAAATCAAGTTCGTCAAAATAGGGCATGATTATTACCGCTAGCGTTAAACGATGAGCTGCTGCTTCAAGCGTTCAGAATCGAAGGTCAACAAAGTAGCAGGGAAAAACGCTTAACGTAAGTAGAAGGATTACTACCCGCTAGGTTACAAAGAGTTCATCGGTGTGGACCAATTTTTACCGCGCCTTTTATATTCCTATCAACAGCACAACGTTGGACCAGGTGGCGAAGTTTCACATGCCGGCATGAAGAGCTGAAGTGCCATGAAACTTCTGTTGTGGGCTGTGGTCCTCATATCTCCCTGGGAAACGGGTTGGTTTCCGCCAATATCGGAGAAATTCACCATTGAACAACGTTTTCTACCAAATGAATACTTGGAATCGTCTCCGGGAAGGTGTGGAAGTCGATTGGGAGTTTCAGGGGACACAGGTGAAAATAAACGCCCCAAACTCCATTGGACAATGGGCGCATTGGGCAGTGTCGGCGATAGCTCGTCGCCTTCAGATGTGGATCCCACTCATCAAGATTTGGGAACTGATCAGCAGGATCTTTTGGCCGGATTCATAGAACATAAAGAGTTACGCCTTCGTGACGAGCGTATTAAGGCTAAAGTGTGCTTAGGTGATGGCGAACAAGACTTATGCGCGACGAGTATTCCGGAGATTCACAGGTAAGCGAAACACTGAGACAAACGGATTAAGTCCTCGAATGCTGGTACAGACAGTAGATTTTCCTTCACCCATGCTACAGTTTTAAAATTGCAAACTCGAAACTTTGTTTACTGCCAATGCCAATCGATTAGATAGGAGCTTTTTAAAGCATATATTCGTTAGCGGCTATTACTACAGGTAATTGAAGTTTTATTCTTATTGTAATTATTACATGAAAAAAAACGTTAATAAATAGAAGAATGAGCCTGCATGCAACCTATTAGAAAATGAATGATGTCGTCCCCGATTTTTGTGTTGGGCTATATCAGACCTTTGATCGTTTGCAGACCATCCTTCTGTATTTAACAAAGTCTATCAAGCTTAGCAAAATAAGGTTAGCTAAAATGTAAGGTATAAGCATTATCTTATAGTTGACCCTAAAGAAAAAGACACATCGAAATATAAATCTTAAACGGCAACACAGTTTCAGTAAAACAGTTGCGATAAATCTTGAAAGAATGAATGAGCTCGAAAACATAGGCGTTTGTTCGATGTAGGTTGGTTTGTATCTGTGATGTAGGAATTTCCACCTTGATCAGGGACAGCTTCTCAGAACTTTCTTTCGACTTTTTAACGCTTGCAATACATTATAGGCTAACAGTTCCTATTATCTTTATATATATTAACCTATAATTAAAAGTGTGAAGATGCGTGCACGCAGTGAGCTGTGTGAATATCTAGTGTAATTCAGTCAGATTATGTCAGGCAAGCAGCACGAGTGCTGTTGGCTGTTCACTGGTTTAAGTTAGCTACCGAATACCTGTGGGTCAGCTAGCTTTGTGGTCGAGCTGATTTTGGCTTCAACCCACAGTGGCTCTGCTAGATCCGTCAATATTCTTTGCATTTACTACCGTTACACAGCAAACATGTTCTTGTGTTGGCATAACGCCATTGTTAAATGTTAGAAGTCACAACTTTTGTGGAGGGAAAACCATATTTTCAATTACTTAGTATCTAGTTGGTAGAAATTTACGTGCTCCTAGGTCACATCTTTTATTCTTTCGTGGTAATCCCTTAGTACTGTCTAGGAAAAACGTAATAATATAATAATCCGTAAATATCTGCTTTCGATAAGCTGAATACGTTACCAAAAATCAAATAGAATATGCAGTTCTCATAATAAATTTATGGAATTTGTGTTAAACTATTTGAGGGTTTTTTGAAAATTATGCAACAAACGTCACTCCTTTTAAAAAAATCTTTGAACGTGATGATGTTTCTCTTCCATCATAAATACTGTTATAGTTTTTAAGGCATTTTTTTCCATTGGTTATAGAAGAGTTATGTTCGTGTATCCTGTTTCACTGTAACATGTTTCGAAGTTGATAACCATCGTACCACAAGCACTACTTTTTTAGAGGTATTGACACCGTAAACTTCTTGCAAAGGAAGACGAATTCTATTACCTTATGGGAACATTTTATTTTTCCAAAAAAAAAAATTAAAACAGGATTTTATAGGATTTTATAGTAAGGTATCAATTGTATCCAAAGAAGATTCCTGTGCAGTAATCTTTTCGCATCTTCCTGCTTTAGGGAACGCTGCAAATGCGATTACGCATGTGGCGAATACGATGACTGCTGCATAGACAATCGGGGCGTGACATCTGTTGATCGAAAATGGACATGTTATGAACGTGGTGGTTTCTACGTCATTCGAGCCTGCCCAAACTCATGGCCAAACGACCAGGTATGCTAAAAGTGGCACATATGTAATAAAACCAGTAATGTTGTGCCTGGATTTCTCACCCATTTTTTTTTATTTAATAATTTTCGTATATTGAGAAGTCAAATTCATACAGGTGTTCAGAAGTCTCTTACGGTCACGCCGGAATATTCGGGTCACGACAGAACTGACAACTAAAATACGTATTCCATTATTTATAATAACTGTATAAAAATTAATATTGTGATATGCGTTTTATTATTCTTTTATTCTATAATTTTAGGTCCGACACCGATGCGAGGAGGATCCAGACAAGCTTGATATGACTGTTTCCTACCTCACTCAGTTGCCAGTCCTTGAGCAAAAGTCTGGTTTCATGTTCTGGAACGTGTTTTGTGCTATCTGCAATCGGAAAACAGACCTTATCCGACCATGGGGTCGTTCTCGGCTAGTTTGCACTAATGAAGGTAAATTAATGATAACGGATCGACTCGAACAGTATCACATTTGCTACTGTGGTTTTTTAGCGTCGTTTCTTGGTATATACTTTTCTTTCATCAACTTGAGAGTTGTAGGAGGAGACCTAAAGCGATGTGATCTATCTGTGTATAACAATTTATTATCAAGCATAGCATTAACAAAAGCTAATGTTTATATAGCAAGTAAAATAGTATACATAGACTTTATCGCCGTAACATATTACCCAGTTATAAATACGAGTCATTGCTTCGCGCTTGGGTATCAAATCTATTACTCTCTTTTAAAACTTGCACTTGTATATATATGCTTTTCAGGATTATATAACCGAACTGGATTCGAAGATCGTTTTCGTCCAGGCGAACATATTGTTAAGTTTGATGCTGAGGTTGTACAACAACTTGTCGAAGTTGGCAATCTTACGTATAACGTTAACACGGAAGAGTTTACCCTGCACAACGGAAAGTTCCACCACGATTGTATTCTCGATATTCCTGAATTTCGGGATATAGACTTTATAAAAACCAACGTGCTCAGGTTAGTTATAACCACAGAAAATATTAATGAAATAAAGTACCGTATTTCACTGGTTCTAATGTTAAATGTATACATGAGGATTTCAATAACGCCTGTAAATGTACTCTTGACAAGCTACTAAGCCATAAGCGACACATTCAATGTTCAGTTTGACATTTAGCAATCGTTCGAAATTCTATTGACTTTAAGTATATCAATCTGGAGCAACTGTTGCCTATATTAATATATGAAATACTATCCAAAAATCAATGAACGTACAGGTACCTCTAATGAGCCCACGATCTCTATTTACATTTCAGGAAGTGCATTGAATCTATCACCGTTTGCCAGAAGACCTTTTTCTCTAAGGAAGACCAAGATCTTGCCTACAAGTGCACGTCGTACACATCTTACGTTCATGACAAGATCACTGCACGTAACTACAAAAATTATCACTGCGCACTTTGCGATGGCGTTAAATTATGGAATATCCGTTGTGGCGCGTATAGCAACACACAAAACTGGAATGTCTTCATGGTGACGCGGACGGCATGGCGCAAGACCATTAGCGTGGACCTTTGGCCATGGCATCATGAGCGAAAGGGCAAGTACGTTGGTAAATGTGCTCAAAATATGCTATACGACGATCTTCTCCAAGTGTGCGTCTACATTGGTTGTCCTGAGCAATACGTATGGGTAGAGGAAGAACAACGGTGTCTCAACATCTTGGACACACTACCAGACCCGTATAGCAATGTTAACCTGACCATGGCTTGTATCACCCAGAAAATTCCCTACGAGTGGATATCAGAGTTGCGTCACAAGGAAATCAGACTCAACCACACCGGTAAGATTCTCAAGCCAAGCGAATATTACATGACCCGATCCGATAATGGTTCGGTTGATTATATATACTACTGTGAACCAGAGTGGCTATCGTTTGAGCTGCAGACGCGTGACAAGTTCATATTTAACGCCCTTAACTACCTTAGCATCATCGGATTATTCTGCGTGATCGTTCTCCACTTAGTTGTTTACGAGCTGCGCAGTAGTCAATGGGGAAAAAACATTCAATGGCTTGCTATCTCTTCACTCTGTGCGAACATAACGTTTGCTTGCGCGCTTCACAAAAAGCCGTTTGCAAGCGATTGCTATACAACGGGTCTCGCTATGATTTTCTTCCATTTGGCAATGTACTTCTGGGCTTCATCTGCCATTTTGGACTCGTATCGAGCCCTATTTAACAAATTACCAAAAAAGCGTCGCGGCGCGGGTCCCAGCACAAAAAAGTTCAGTATGTTCTCATGGGGTCTGCCTTTAGTGTTTATGACTATGTCGTCGACAAGCGACAAGTGGGGTGCTGAGTTCGGTATCGGAGCCCGAGTAGGGAAACCACTTTGTTTCATTTCTACGGGAATTGCGTTCGCGCTGTTCTTCTACGGCCCATTAATTCTTGTTGGTCTGGCAGACTTGCTTGGATTTGTATTGTGCCTTAAACGAATTTTGTGTCGACCGCGACCGCCCGTTCGAATTCACGTGCATGGCCGTAGCCAAAGTTCCGATGGCGTATCTCATACGAATCGTAACCACCTCTATACAATAGCCGGCTTCCTTATTTTAAGCTTCTCTACGTGGACATCCGTGTTCTTAGCTGTCGACATGCAGATCAAGGAGGGCTGGATTGCATTCAGTATCCTTTACGGATGTCAGGGCTTATGGCTGACAGCTCGTACAGCGTTAAATCCAACCGGATTTTGGCTGTTTTTCGATGAAGTGACCCATCGCGACCCACGACACAGGGCTATGCGTTCAGCTGGCGTTCTCGTAAACTCAGCTAAGGATCTTCCAGCGCTCACGATGCCTGAAGACCGCTCGCACCGAGAACCTACTCCATGCCCGCTTACCCCAAAATTTTCCACAGAGTTGTCTCGTAAAAATCTCTTTCTACAAGCACCGAGCGCTCCGGGACAGTCTCGCCGTCCTAGCGCCGTCGTCCCTGAATTTAATCACAACCCCGCCCCGCCAATGAACCCCAACAATCATCGTTATGGACCGCCAGTGACAAATCTTATTCCCGCAACACCGCTACCGAAACACATGGACCGGCCAAAGTTTCCTCATGAACGACGCGTTTCGAGCGCTGTTATCAAGCCGATCCACATGAACGTGCCGCAGAGTGCCTTAACTCCAATACTTCCTCCTTTGATAACGCCAACTCCGCCTGATTCTGCCGCAAATACGATACACCGTCAGTAATTGTATTGCTGCTGCTACTATGTCAAGTGACTAAATGATGCACAGCATTGTGAAGAATCGTGTTATGAGGAGTTCACTTGTATGATCAATAATAATAGCGTAAATACGCGCATAAAGTGCGGATGCACGATCCCCGAGCCTAAATATCCGCGCTTCAATTACACAAATGATAAACTTCAGATAATTTTATTTCAATTACAACATTTACGTTCTGTTGCGCTCGCGACATTATATGTTATCCAAGTAAGCTTGATGAGGGCAAGCTTGTAACTATGTGAATGGTTATTTTTTAAATAAGAGAATGTAAACCGGCGCAATTGCTGTTTCTCATATTTACCGATACGATTCCTACGCAGCACATATCAGTAAGGAAGAAACAATGCGACTCTGTTTAGAGAAATCGGTCGAACTTGTTGTGTCTATATTCGAAGCTGTACTTGAGTTAAATTTACTATTCAATGAAGTACGAATAGTATAATAATCGAAACTCATCTAACAGTAACTGCTGACCTAAATAACCAAAAGGTTATTCTGTACATAATCTGTATTTACTTCTCCAGGCACCTATGTAAAGATAGATCTGTTGTTTTCTTGCAAAATCGCAATTCATGAAATAATTCCCTAAAAATGTTGGAATTGCATTCTATTCTACATTCGTATTGCATAATAAACGTTATACAGGTGTATTATAAATTGACGCCGTCTCTGTCTCCGATTTAATGAATAACATATTAAGCATGTATCAAAAAGCGACAATTTGTATAGCAAGGCTATCAACTAGGTCTACATAGGTTTTCAAAAAGGTAAACAGTTTTCTTAGAATATGACACCTCGCAGGATTACTCACGGGATTATGTGCACGTGCGTAAGCGATAACGTATAAATCATTCACCTTGGAATAATGTACTCAGACAATAATAAAAGGAAAGAAGAAATCAAGATTAAGAGTGTAATTGAAGCTATATCCTTCTTGCTACACGTCTAAACCTATTCATTCCCGAAAAAATACTTTCAAATAGTTTTGGAGTTCAAAAAGTCGTCCAACGCTGTTTTAAAAGCTCATAAAACAATGCGAACTATTATCAGAATAATATCTATACAGTCATGCAAGATGTGTCGGATTTGCATGCTGTAAATCACATCCATGATCCACCATCGTTCACTAATTATATACAAAAAAATCCAGCTCACTACCCTGCTATACTTCTCTGAAAATAATGTAAGCATAACGCACCTTCTAAAGTATACGAAATTAACGAATTACTTCAGCATTCTGCTGAGCATAGGACAAGAAGTCAATAGCTTGCTTGCCATATTTTCAGCTTGCTTTTTTAGCGATAAAGCCCACTGAGATTTAGAAGTGTTACTTGACATTACTTTATTTTGAAAATAATATATATACATTATTTTTTTGAACCATGCGTATATATTACATGAGAACTTCTTGCCCTCTCCAGATGTCTTTCTCAGCCCTACGCTGCAAGAAAGTCCTGCATGTAAACTAATACATGTATTGCCATATATGCTGAGCTGATGACTTAGCTGCGAATTAGCAATTCAAAGATTTTTAACTACAGCAGCACGAAGGGCTGTGATAACTTTTTCCGGTTCTGGGCTTCGGGTGACTGCTGTACCGCTTACAATCATGTTGGCGCCCGCGCGAGCGCAGGCATCAATCGTCGAAAGGCCCACTCCGCCATCTACTTCAATATCCAATGTCGGGTAATGCTTTCGAATGTATTCAACCTAAAGACAATAACATGAATAATAATATGCAGAACAATGACAGAAATAACTTTGTAAAAGCTTTTTTTTTTAGTCAACCTTAAAGTGTAAAAGTTTTCCGCTAATATTTTGTCAGATTAATATATATATGTACATATGTGTGTGTGTGTATTAAAGAAGCATAGATCGCCTTCGAACATAGAATAAATTTCTCAAAATTATTGCACTCATATTGCAATGTTAGGGCAGCTATTGTTCTCTGTTAAAAATATATGCTAAATAGAAAAATTAGACATTGAGCTTCTTTATTCTTTGGATAATTCATATATTCCAAAAAGAAATATATAAAAAGTTAAAACCGCGTACCTTTGGCATCATGTCGGGCATAAAGCTCTGTCCTCCAAACCCTGGCTCGACAGTCATAATAAGCGCCATGTCAACCTTATCGAGTACATAATCCATCTCCTTCACGATTGTGCCTGGTTTAATAGCGACACCCACCTAATTAAGTAAAAACGGGCGCAAACGCACGTCAGGCGCAGATAAACATTCTAAAGGACAAACGATATGCCACGCTCAGAATTTCGGCTTGACCGCGTATACAAGAATACGTACCACATCGTTTACCAATTCAGATACGAAGCATATTGAAATAATGAAAAGTTGCGAGCTTCTTCTCACTCCATGTGCTAACCTTCATCCCAGCCTCGCGAATGGCTCGGATGAGTCCAAGTGCGTCATTCGTAGCCTCTAAGTGAAATGTATATTGATCTGCTCCTGCGTCAGCCATAGAAGTAACCCACTGCTCAGGTTTCGCTACCATCATGTGCATGTCGAAAAACGCCTGATAAGTTAAGCAAATGATATGAGTAACAGCAGTCAACGTCATATATATTTTTTACAGAAGGGAAAGGCTGTCATTTCATAATGAGTTGATAGCTTCGATTTCAACGATATGGCTCGAAAATCGACCTTAGGAACTTTGCCACGAAGACACTTGACAACTGGGTGGCCGAAGGTGAGATTGGGTACAAAGTGGCCATCCATGACATCGAGGTGAAGATAGTCGGCTCCGTATGACAAAAGTCGTTGGCACTCCTCCGCTAAGTTAGAAAGGTCCACATTGAGGATCGATGGACCGATCTTACACACGACATTTCCACAGGCCGACATTACGAATCTGCAGCAAACGCCATTGTATTACATGTCGAGTAGCTATATTAATAAAAACTAAAAAAATCAGTGAAACGTAGATAAGCGTGTCTATCCATCAATGGACGCAGCGATTGGGTCCTAATTAAGGGATAGGTCACATATTGTGGTTAAATTCATCTGGACAAAATCTTGGCGCCTAATAACAAAGACAATAACAATACCAGATAACAAAATTTAATAAGAAATAGATTACAAATATGTCTTAAATAATCTATATATTTGAGAAAACAAATATATTTATACATTATCATGATTAGGTAGGTACTTATTTTCATCTGTGTTTATTATTAGCTTATCTTCACGCAGTGCTGTGAACCCCTTCATCACAAATCAAAGGAATTCGACTGAATGACTTGCACTACAGAACGTCATCTGTTTAAGAGATATTCTTTACCAAATGATCTTCCTCCTAATATTAAATAAATTTTGATATCCAAAATTACTGTTACTTAAGATTGCAACTCCTCAAATCGTTTCCGAATGTATGTTTTAGCTACTTTGACGCGAAGTTTTTGTTGCAATTTTGTCTAAATTCATACAGTCATATATACTAGTGCAGTAGCAAACTGACATAGTATTTCTATTAGCAAAGTTCGACTTTCCGAAAGCGTACGTTCACAGAAATCCAATACACCTTTAGTTAAATTAGTCTCTTCATAGGAAATAATGCTTTCTCAAAGCGTAGAAATAACACAAAAGCTTCATATTCTCACATCAACGTTGTTAGCTAACACAGCGTCTCATTATTGCTTCGTTTGTCCATGATCACTGAAAACATCCAAAAGGATTGCCTATTCTAGAATGATTTCTACTTTGTCTACGTTGCCTGTATTTTTTAATACACTGACCTTTTTGACATTTGCTTTGTTGGTAATCATAAGAAAGTTTATCACCCAAAATTGATAATAAAATTTATGATTAATAAATGCTACTGTGCACTCCATCAAGTTATGTGTGTTACATATAATGATGATAATATATAAGGATAAGAGTGGTGTTTAATTAAATGAATACAGATATGCTAACTTCTGGGACAAAATTGTGTCCAAAATATGCCACAGAACGGATTTTCCCAGAATAGTAAGTAAAATCCACAATTCTTTGCAGAACTATAGGTTAGCAACAAGGATTACTGTACACGACAATGCCTATTCTACCGCATTACCCATGATTTTCATTGCAATCTGTTTACATCAGAGTAAATAATAACAGTGGCGCATATCAAGTCCCGCTGCGTAGAAGTATTGAAGAAAAGAGAGACAGACATGATCAGAAGATATTTGCGAATTCTTTAAGATATTAACTGCTGTAACAGGCTTTACGCTTCATAGACTAGAGTAAAATACTACACGGACTTCCAATGACCTTTGAGCGGCTAGAACACACAATTGACGCCGAATACGGGGCAAAATTTGTTTTCTTTTGTCGATAGGATCACTACACAATCTCTAGGCCATTCCGAATTGCAATTTGAAAAATTGCGCGTATTTCAGACTGCAGTACACATTCAAGTGAAGGAGCACCAGGAAGTCTGCGTCGTCTGCGATGAGGTGGCCTCGCTGGCGTAATAGAAGGGGTATAAACAAATAACAGAAGTCTAGCGATTTTCGAACGTCGCGAAGCCCAAAAGTGTGGGGGCCCAAAAAAGTGAACTTGTTTTTAACCATACGCGCGACAAGTATATACATACTACTTCAAATTTTGTTTGTGCTGCGTCAAGATGCTTTGGTTTCGCTCAATAGTGTTGGTTCGTCAAGGCGTGGCAGCACGTGCCTACGCAAATCTAGCTGGAGGTAAATAACCAGAACTTTTTGTAAAGCCTACGCACCCTATTATATGCTCACTCAAATGTAACAGTAATCCGACGTATTTAATTATTTACTTTTCATAAATGAAATGCATCGTTTAAAAACTTGACAGTAACTAGTACATCATGAGCGGCAATTTTTAAAATCCTACTGTAGTTAGTAAAATCTTGATCATGTGCAAGCTCAATATTGTTGATAAATCATCATTTATTTACGTTCGTTTTCTCTCGGTGCGGGTACTTAGGTGCAACAGTATCTACAATAAAAAAACAGAAAATTCGCCTTATTCATCATCGTTCTTAAATGTGGATTAGCTCACGAAAATATAGGAAAAGGGAATATGTTGATTCCGCTTCTCGCTTTGCTATTTGTACATTCTATATCCTTAACAACTACAACGCCATTGATCTGTATCATTATTTAATCAAAGGTACTGCACTGTTCTAGGAACACCGACAATTCCAGCTTCAACGGAGACAGACGAACGGGTGAAATCACAGACAAAAACGTTCGGCGAAGCAATCCATAGACTTAGCGAAGTGTCAGCTGTGCCTGTGAAGCCTCCAGTTTCGTTTGCTAGTCTACTTCGAAATTCGCAGCTTATAAAGTTGGGAGACCCTGTTGGAAAAGTCGTTGTCGGCAAGATATTTCATTGCGTAGCGAATGACCTATATATAGATTTTGGAGGAAAATTTCATGCCGTTTGTAAGCGGCCAGCCATAGATCAGCAGTAAGTAAAATCTTATTAACAATAATGACGTCAAATCATCGTGAGTATGGGTTTTAGATGTGCCAAGTTACCACCGTCAGAACAAATTGATTTCGGAATCAATATGTCTTATTTAGCCGCACCACGGATTCCCAGTGCTTCGTCATTGTTAAATTTGTTCAGGTGATAATACAAAAAGGCTTCGAAGGAGAAATATTTTCTGCTCAATTGAATATTTTTGCTGGGGCTTGCAAACTGCTTTATAACTAAAATTTTCATCAACTTCAAAAAATTAACTCGTTCCATTTCTTGTTTGCACTAAATAGTCGGTTGTAGACCATTAGAAAAAATTCGCGTATTTCTATTTAGCTTAGGTATTTATACTGTATTTTATTATTTATGAAGTCACTCTACCTATTACTGAATTCTTCAGTCATGAGTAATTAATATTTTCACAGTCGGCTTTACGTTGTTTTTTAAGATTGCTGCAGATGATCAACTTGATCTTTTAAATATATAGTTAACACAAATGCTACATCGCACTGAAATATTATAATAATATTAGTATCATTGCTTCATCAAAAAAGGATCTTCATTGTGATTAAAATACCTTGTCATGCAACAGTTCAAAAAAATTCTTTAGACCATCCGATGTTATTTCTATTTTGTTAGTACACAAGATGATCTGAGTTCAGGATTATTACAAATTACTTAGTCACATATGGAAAATGTAATTTTCCGTATGTTATTTTTTGCTTAGACATATATGAACATTTTGCGCATTCTTGATTGATTCCATAAAACACTTTGAAATTTTTGCTGTATCCACATATATGAAAAGAGACTTTCAGCAACTCTTTATAATCTTTTGATAATATTAACTAAATATGAGCGCGCTGGTTAAGACGAAAAGTTTTAGCGTTTTAAATATGTTTATAACAGTTCCAATATTATTCATACGTTATAAGTACTCTTTTTTTACCTAACACTTACATTTGTTCCTGAATTTCAGACGCTACATGCAGGGTTCATATGTGCTAGTTCGACTTCAAGACCTTGAGCTGTCGTCGCAGTTTTTAGGTGCCGATCGAGATCTCACTCTTCTTGAAGCGGACGCCACCCTTTTAGGCTACGCTGATGCGCCATGCGCTCATGACGTAGCGTGTAAATCATTTCCGGAAAAATTTGGACTTGTTGGTTAATTAATCAATGGTTTTAGCAGCAATAAATAATAATTAGAAAAGTAGATAAAAAAAATGGTGCACTTATAACGGTTGTTTACTGTAGACATTTTACACTATTATAATGTCGATACCAAAAAGTGATAACAAATAAAAAAATGGCTTGTTTGCTTGAAAGTGAATTGAGCTGACGTAGTGCATCTCTGGGTCATTGATTATGGATAGATTTGCTTATGAACTCGAGTTAACGAAAACGCATAAAAGATATATCTTTATTTTATCATTAAATTATTAAAGATCGTTAGCCACTCTGCTTTCATTAGAAAGAAGTGTCGGCGTACTGAGCTCATATGACCACGAATTATATCTATTTTATCCATAACCTAATTCAATCGTCGTACTGTTTAGCAAATATTATTATGAAAGACATAGATCAATACAACAAGAACAAAAAAAAATCCTTATTTCTATTGAACAACATTTGTTTTACGATATAAATTATAAAAATAATAAGTATAGTTTGTGTGGCTGCATCAGTCGCATGAACGCGAAGTCTAGTTAATTGTTGAATTGTATGTGAAGATTAGTTTCATAGTCCCTCCTCAATAACGCTTTGCATAGGGTTTTTCATTGAAAATGGATGCAACATTTCAAACAATTTCCAATGAATTTAATTTGAGCAAGTTTGAATACTCTTTATTCAGTTAGCTATATCCCCCATTCGTTTTTGTCTTTTTTACAATACTTCATTCGTTCATACGAATAGAATGTTGCCTATGGGTACATCAGAATACAAAGTTGTATGTTAGACCATTTAGCTCGTTCACGGAAATTTTCGATTTTATCCCTTCAAATTTTGCTAGGAAAATTTCTAAATTGAACCTACGTCCAATCACGACTGCTCAGAAGAGTGCATTAGTAGTAGATACAAAAAAATTATTCGCAAAATCATATTTATTGTGTTTATCACGCAGATTTAAAACTCACCAGGTTTAAAATTTTAACTGTTTAAGTATCTTGCTTGGTTCGATCATTGAACTATTTCCTTGTCTACCAGGCATGCGACATAAACTACAATACAGGTATGTCATTGTAAATACATCACCGGGCTTGAACCTTCACATGAACACGTCCTTTCATATATACATTTTTCCCGGTGATCCTTATTGCCCCCCATTTGGAAGCTAAAGCATTTTGAGCTCTCCGGAAAAGATTCTTGGTTTATTAGGAATTTGTTATTTTTAAGTCGTTTATTACCTGCTTCACGTTTCAATAATCCATATAGCATTAGAATATTTTACAAGTAAACATCCATATACCTGACATGGTGTAGCTTAAACTGTCGCCTAGAAACAGAACAAGATGGCGGGAAATAGTTCACATGGGATGTGGTACCGTTTGTCTATTTTTTACCCCATACGATTGAAAGCGCTACAAGAGTGATTTCTTGTTTTAATATTTTCAGAATTACAATATTAGCGGTGAATGTTGGGTCGCAATACTTTTTTTTTTACTAATCAAGGATAGGGTACGCTCAGTCCGGCTAGGTTTTAATTTCGAATTATAACTGGATTAAGTAACTATAAAATAACTAACACCAGTTATCACAATTTGAGCGTTTCAATTACGGTAGGAATATGTGTGTGTGCAAAAAGCGTCAATAGATCAGAGTTAAACTAGAGTTCTGTTTCCATTTGTTGGATCTGATAAAAGTCTATCTATCTTTCTTTAAGGTTTGTGTAAATACCTTGATCACCCTTTTTTCTAATCAAAGGCTCCGGTATGAGGCGTGAGATTAGAAAATCTTCAATAGAGACGACAACAACTCTACGTATTGATATGATTCGCATACTGGCAAAACTAGATTAGCAGAACTTCCTTGTATCAAGCAGAATAACCGATCTAGCTTTATCATACTTGTTAAATTTTGTTAATAACTTCGTACATACACGCATACACGTTTTTTTGAAACAATATACCGATCCTGATGATAGAATCTAACCATTGCATTACTGACAAATGCCGGGTCATCATAGATTAGTTTCAACTATATCGAAAATTTGTTTTATCGTAAATACGAATCAAGAAAGAGCTCTCCACGGACAACGACGTCTAATGTTTTTCAACTTCAAGTTCTTACGCACTCGAAAAACAGAGTGTTGCTGATACTTATCAATTTTCTTTGTTTGGTATTTATTTGGGCCTCTCTAAGGCATGTTTTTATAAATATAATGATATTTCTAATCAAACCATAAGCGCTAACTTTATTCCAATTTATTTGGTTGAATTTGTTGTTTGTTGAATTGTTCTAGTTATCAACGATCTTAGTTATACTAGATATTGTTCTAGCTTTATTTGATTGGTCCTAAATATAATAGAACATTGGTGTAAGAAAATAATAATTTTCCATAAAAAAATAACAGAAAAAATGTTGACTAGAGGTCAATTTCAAAAAAGTCTTAGTGTACTTTTAAGTAGTTTTGCGAATTTTAGGCAGAGCATTAACTTGATTCACATAAATTAAACGTGTAAATACCATTTGATTAATTACATCTAAGCTAGTTGAGTATTTTGGTTTATTAGTAACTAGTCGATAAACATGCATATTTTTCCTATTTTCGTTCGCCAGTAAATGCTATCCTAGTATAGTAATCTGCATATTCCTTGCATATGTTAAAAAATATGCAAGAAAAAATAGAGTACTCGAATATAGACTTTATAATAAAAGAAATACAATGTCGGGATAAGAAATGGCAGTAACCCCATCAGGGCTAACTGTAGTGAAATCCCTCGGTAACTATGACAACCGTATAATGTTATCGAGCCGATCCGAATCGCACCAGAACCGCCATCTTTTAGTGGTGTGTCTCTCTTGAGTTTTACAGGAGTTGAGCTGAGCTGTTCGCAACTTTTTCTTGCCTTTTTATTAAATGAATAGCCGTTTGTGGATTCTTTCATAAACGTATTTAAATGTATGTATTAAAGAACTTAAAAAGTATTAGAAAAAATCCAAATTAAGATATTTAGTATGGACTAGAACCTAACGACACCGCTGTACCGCCGGGGGCCGTGGCGAGCCTCTGTAATCCTGCTTCTGGGAGGCTGGTGCGTGGGATGTTCACGGGCTGGGGTTTCCCTCCGTTGATTGTCCATGTCGATCGGGTGTCCGCACTAAGCTCGGCGTCCACATGGCCGCTCCTCGGGGAACCGGGAGCGTCCAGGTCGGCTGATGAGGGGCGAATCGGCTCAGGGCGGAAACGCAACAGGCAAAAGTCCCCGCGCTGTGCAGTAGTGGGATCGCACCCGTGAATGGGCGTCCTCGGTAGGCCCAGCCTACTGGTTGGACCACACACCCTACCCTTTTTGCTCCTCTTCTTAGTGATAAATATTAAATTTTCCAATTTAACATTTATAATAGAAGATCTATTTGGCCACATCTATGATGTAAATTACTTAAGAGCACCTTGATAGCTCGCCTGCCTGGCGTAGTGAACGCTACGAACGCATAGGATATGTGTAATGACTCTTTTGTTTCTTTCGCTGTCTTCGCACCTGGGTGCAATATAACTTTCTCTATAACTTGAAATATTGAGAAGCTGAACACTGCAAAAAATTTTACACTAAATAGTTAAGTATATCACATTTACCTAGATATTAGGTATTTAGGCAGAAACTTCCCATCTCTTCAAAAAGGATAGAGTGATCGATAGGCTCTCTCAACGGTAAACATTTTTTACGCATTGTAAGTGTAACACTGTTTAGCTTTAGCGATTTTCTAGTCATTTTCTTAACACTGAAGGAGACATATTTTAGGTTAAAAAGCATGACACTAGGGAATGTTGAGCGAACTTTGCTTAAAATCTCTCTATATCTTCAAGGTTAAAATAGTTGCTATCCACCTAAACCATTTTACAGACATGCGCATTGCTATTTGAATACATGCATAGGCACAGAAAAAAGAGAAATAAATTGTTCCGACGAATAAGTTCTAATACTAATCTAGTAATAAAATACTAAGCTTTTGGTTTTTTTTAACTTAGTTGCGACACTTTTTGAACATTTTCGATCGAAATTGAAAAAAAGACTCTTCTATGTCTAATAAAAGAGTTTATTAGATTTAACTGTGCTGGAACAATGTGTGGATCTAAATTGACTCTAGGGAGTATGTTCAGAAAATCTTGTGTGTTTAGCTTCTGCGCTCAGAGGACGTATTAAGACGGAATCAATAGCAAGTTCGGGGATTTTAGCATTACATATATGTATACAATAACCATTTATATTTTTTGAGCAGTTTCTGATCATTTTCCACTAATATTCCACTCAGATGTTCGAACTGAGCTTAGTACCACTATTTTTTTTATAGTGAACGTTTAACTACAGCCTGTATCTCTAGTGCCAGGTTTGGCGTGTACTATTACTACTGTTATTTTACAAAGTTATGTTATATGTGACCAAAACTATTGTTGATGAGCAGACGTTGTGTAGCATTGTTTTAAATGAAATCCAATGAAAAAGTGAAACGTTTTTTACATCTCCGGGTCTTTGATGTATACATCTTACGCATGATTAGTCCTACTATTAAAATAATCATTTAGTCAAAAACCAAGATTTTTTCCATTCATTTAATTCATCAAAATTTACAGGATTTGTCTTACTTCTTGATAGTTCCACTCTTCAACAACTGAATCAAAATACTAACTGTTATACATTTACATATATACAACAGTATAACAGGTATATACAGACCCGTTTGGTCTCACAACTACATTGTGTACGGCATTTGCGATTCGAAATAAGAGAGTCAAATATAGGAAGGTAACTTACATTTTGATTCAGCTCATCGAGAGCTTTCAATCAGTATTAAGTAATACTGAATCTCATATAAGTGAAACAGGCACTATATTTGAATATATTTGAAATATCCATTTTAGGTGTAGTAAAACGTATTGCATTTTTAATGAATATACCGGTATCAAGCAGAATGGTACTTTGCTCTATTTGATATGTTTCTGATATGTTGATATTTCACTAATAAAATCTATCGGAACTATCCAAAATGCCTTTGGAACAGATTTTCATTCTATTGCACATGGGGAAAGGCAACGTCGTTATTCAGGCTTTCCGCACTTGAAATACCTCTTTTATGTAGAGGGACATGAATTGTTTTTTTATTTGGCTCGTCAGTCTACCGATTCGAAGC